ATGATGAAATGAGCCTGTAATAATACAGACTAACATTAACCCGATTGCGCACACTGGCATGAAAATATTAGCAGGTAAACAATACCCATAAATAGTTTGCTATGCTAAAGAAGCTCCTGACACTTTCCTGTATACTTGCCTGCAGCAATACCTTCGCCCACCCCGATTCTTTAGCTAATGGTTTCCAGGCCCAAGCCCAACAGCCCAATGAAAAAAAAGAGAAAATGTACAGGCTGAACTATGCGGCAGACATCCCGGTTACCGCTGTGGGAATTGGCTGGTGTACTTATGCTTTTGGTAAGGTTTATGATAAACCGAATTCCACGGTTGAGGAAATACAACGACTGGATAAAAAGGACATCAATGGCATTGACCGCTGGGCCGCCGGACTTGGTTCCGAAAAAGCAGCCGCCACCAGTGATATTCTTTTCTACGGTTCCATGCCACTCCCGGCGCTCCTGTTCCTGGATAAGAAAATAAGAAGAGATGCCCCAAAGGTTGGCTTTCTTTACCTGGAAGCAATGGCTGTTACCGGACTCTTGTATACCGGCTGCAACTATTTTATCGACCGTTACCGCCCCGAGGCATACCGTACAGATATCGGCCCCGAAAACCTAACGTCCGGCAATAACCGGAATTCCTTTTTTGCCGGTCATGTGGCCCTGGTAGGCACTTCTACTTTTTTTATTGCCAAGATCTATCATGACTATCACCCGGGCACCACGATGAGCTATGTATTATGGGGCGGTGCTATCGCGGCTACCGGCACTACAGCATACCTTCGCCACCGTGCCGGCAAACATTTCCCTACAGACCTTGCAGTAGGCACCGCAGTTGGCGTATTATCCGGCGTACTGGTACCGGCGCTTCATAAAAACAAGGCATTTAAAAAACATGGGCTCAGCCTGGCCCCGGCCATTATGCCCGAAGGTGTTTATGGTTTCAGCGTCCGTTACCGGTTATAATGATCGTCTTAATTAAAAATGATGAACCAGTCCAATGCCCGGCATCCTGTTTTGATAAGTAGGCAGGATAACGGTACTCGTTCTTGAATTACCTGTTTTATGGAGGATGGTATTTTTGAGCTTAGGATACAACCAATAGGACAATCTTACAGACAGGATGCCAACGCCCGCGCCGGCAATCACATCATTCAGCCAGTGTTTGTTATTGTACATTCTCAAAACGCCGGTTGCCACAGCAACTGCATAACCACCAACCCCGATCCAGGGAGATACATCTTTATATTCCTGCCGGAGAAATTCTGCGGATACAAAGGCTGCGGCGGTATGACCAGATGGAAAGGAATATTTATCAGAGCTGTCCGGACGAACCACACCGGTCAATGACTTGGTGGAGAACACCAGACCATTAGCCACCAGGTTAGACATACC